TCGGCGGCTGCTGCCGGCCTGCTGGAGGCCCGGCCATGGGCGGAACCCTTAAAGCTCGGGGGGCCGGCGGCAGTAGCGGCTGCGGGGGCCCAAAGGGGAAGAAGAAGAACGGAAGGAACAGAGGAGGCAAAGCCAACAACCCTCCGTACCTGCCCCCCGAGGTGAGCACTTGGAAAGTGGTGAGGCGATAGAAAACTACTCCTTCCGTTCCCCAAGACTCTAAGGAGGCGGGATAAAGAGAATTAATCCCCGCTTCCGGTGTCAAGCCCCCACAGGGGAAGGACGCGGGAGCAGAACCCCTCCTTCTGCCCCAGGACCGCCCCCCCGAAAGGAGGAGACTCGAGACTGGACCTTCCTTTCGGTGTCAGAACTTCCGGGAGGGACCGCTCCCAGCTTCTAACCTCCATAACCCCTAGAGAAGTGGGGACGGGAGATCCCACCCCCTTGGGAAGAGCAGAGGATGTCCGACCACCCCCTGCCCACGCTGGAACTGGGAAAGAAAGGCTGCATCCTGGGATAAGGGAGGCAGAGTGACTCCACTTTTTCTAAACTTGCTCCACAGGGAGGAGGGGAGTAGCTGGGACAAGAGCAATGTGTTCCCTCCCTACCCCTCAGTACCCACATAAAGCCAGAGAATAGTTAAACTTAGTCCTCTGCCCTTTGCTTGTCCAATGAGGGCGTGGAGACAGAAGAAACTCTGTATACCTACTCCATGAGTTCTTAACGCAGAGATTACCACTTTGTTCCTCCCTCTTAAGATAGGAGAATTCTGAGTGGGAAGGGCTTCAACCAGTGGTTATCAAACTTTAGTATGTACCAGAGTCATCCAGATTGCCTGCCCCTCTTCTAGAATTTTTGGTTCATTAGGTAAGGGATAGGTCTGAGCATTTGCATTTCTTACAAGTTCCCATATGGTGCTAATGCTGCTTGCTGGTCCCAAGACCACATTACACTTTGAAAACCATTGGCCTAGCTTCTCTGTATCACATTTCTAAAGCCAACCATCCCAATTCTTCATCTCCAGTAAAATGATAAAAACAGTTTCGGGAAAGAGATTATTCATGGGAAGAGAGCTCCTACACATTCTGTGGGGTCAGAATTATGGGTGAAGACCACTTGTTAGGGTTTTGAGGGACAGAATGAAGACAGAAAGGGAAATGGAACAATAAAATGACCAGAGAGTGCAGAAATACAGAATGCAGCACAGGCAATTGCACAGACCTTCACAGCCAAGGATGGGGAAGGTTGCTGCTGGCCTATGCTACCACCAGGAGGAGGAAAAAGAGATCGTGAGGCAGATTCAGGATTTTGCTTCAATCTAGGCTAGGACAGGAAGTAAAAGTCATAGTGAACTTGGTTGATGGTCTTATTCCCTTATTAATATCAGTTGTTCTTTTGTTCATGTAAGCTTGGCCTTTGACACTCTGCCCCAGGCTCACCTGGGGCTCCTGTCTCATTGAGTTTGTTTGTGGTGACCAGTGCTGAGCTCACCCTTTGGCCCTGGTCCAGAACCACTTGCAGCTTCTTACATTTGATGACATCAGCTGAGAGAGGCAGGCAGGAAGGAAATGTTGTCTCCCAGGTCAGTGGCAAAGAAAGGCCTCAACACTTTGAGCACGGGAAAACAAAAACCATAGACATTTGGGAACAGCAGTTTTAGGTTGGGGGTAGGGTGGTAACCTTGTACCTAGGATGAACATGCTGGAGACTTGGGATTCTGTTCCTGGCTTCAATGGGTGACTTGCTATATACTTACAGGTTTTTCCTTGGAGGCCACATTGGTTCTGAGTAGTTTGTCTACCACTGATCCTTAGCAGGCATTGCCTAGGCAGGTGTCCCTGGGGCTTCTTGCTCTCTCTGCCTAAGCTGGTTGGGAATTGAGAGGGGAAGTACGGATTGGGTCTGCACAGTGTGTGGTAATTGCTTCCTGTTTCTTTTCAGGCTGAAGATGGAAACATCGAATATAAAGTGAGTCTTAGGCTGGGGAATGGGGTGATTTCTCTGAGACCCCTCTAACTTCATGATGTATGGCAATGTAGGGTTGTAGTCTAGGGTGAGGGTTCTGAACCTCATTGTGTTGGGGAGAAAATCACTGCTATTGTGGTCAGGGGCAAGGGTTTTAAGTGGAAAGTAAAGATACTGGTTATTGCAGCAGGACAGGTAAGAAGAACACCTCTGATTACTTCTCATGGTACCCCATCTGCCCTAAGCTGAAGCTGGTGAATCCATCCCAGTACCGCTTTGAGCACCTGGTGACACAAATGAAGTGGCGGCTCCAGGAGGGACGCGGTGAGGCTGTCTACCAGATTGGGGTGGAGGACAATGGGCTGCTGGTGGGGCTGGCTGAGGAGGAGATGCGGGCCTCCCTCAAGACCCTGCACCGGATGGCAGAGAAGTATGCTTCCTCCTCTCCCTCAGTTCTCCTTTCCCTCATTTCTAGGGAGGACTCCTGCATACCCAGCCAGCCAGGTCTAAAGGGTTAGGGTGGTGGGCTTTCCTTCTATTGCAATCTCTTAACGAAGGGCTAAGGTAAGGCAGGCTGGTGTTCTGATCGCCTCACTGTGTCTAGACTTTTCTGCTCCTTGATTTGTTTTAGAGGTGCTCTGGATAGACATAGATGGGAGGGTGGTAGGAAGTACAGTAAGGTGTGAGGAGCTGTGGGCAATGCTGGTGGTGGTGGGGGAAATACATGTGAAATATGGCAGCTTGTGACCTTGCTGTGACAGGGTTGGGGCAGACATCACTGTCCTTCGGGAACGAGAGGTGGATTATGACAGTGACATGCCCCGGAAGATCACTGAGGTGCTGGTACGGAAGGTCCCTGATAACCAACAGGTGAGCACATGCCCTGCTCATGTTCTCCCTGTGAAGGCCCTGTGGTGTCAGCTTTTTCACTGGCCTAGGATCCTAAGGGTGTCCAGACCATCTCTTGCTCTTTAGGGAGCATCACTACCTTTGACCTTCAATGAGAGAGGTGAGATTGGAGCCCTTACCCCTGCCAATTTGTTCACAGTTCCTAGATCTCCGTGTGGCTGTCCTAGGGAATGTGGACTCAGGGAAGTCAACCTTGCTTGGCGTCCTGACCCAGGGAGAGCTGGACAACGGGCGGGGCCGGGCTCGACTCAACCTTTTCCGCCATCTGCATGAGATTCAGTCTGGCCGAACCTCCAGCATCAGCTTTGAGATCCTGGGCTTTAACAGCAAGGGAGAGGTGCATGGGATCAACGGGACCCAGTGGGGCCAGACTCTGAGGATGGGCTGGTAGAGGTGAAGGATAGGCTGGGGGCAGAATCTGGAGACATTTTGGAGTGGTGTAGATGAAGGCTCTGAGGGCACTGTGAACAGCTCTCCCTCTTAGAAATCAATGAGAATCCACTGAACTAAATAGAAAATGGGGCTTAGGGTTATGAGGCAGGGTTACCCAGGGACTAGATAGGACCTGGCAAGTCCTGAAGGGTTGGGGGGGCTCAGAGGGACACTGAGAGCCCTGGGCCCTGGGCTAGGTGGTGAATTACAGTGACTCACGGACAGCAGAAGAGATCTGTGAAAGCAGCTCCAAGATGATCACCTTCATCGACCTGGCTGGCCACCACAAGTACTTGCACACCACAATCTTTGGCCTCACCTCCTACTGCCCAGACTGTGCCCTGCTCCTCGTCAGTGCCAACACTGGAATTGGTACGAGACACTGGGCAGGGGCAGGGTGAAGGGTGGTGCCGACTCTCTCCTGCTCCTGGGCCTCCTCAGAACTGGGAGCCACACCAACTCTTCTCTTCCTTTTCCTCCCTGCCACATTCTCCTCTCTCCTGTTGCCTGCCTTCTTTCTGTGAGGCAGCTGGCACCACACGGGAACATCTGGGGCTGGCCCTGGCCCTGAAAGTGCCATTCTTCATCGTGGTCAGTAAAGTGGACCTGTGTGCCAAGACCACAGTGGAGAGGACAGTACGCCAGCTGGAGCGGGTCCTCAAGCAGCCTGGCTGCCACAAGGTCCCCATGCTGGTCACCTCTGAGGACGATGCTGTCACTGCTGCCCAGCAGTTTGCCCAGTCACCCAAGTGAGCCTGCCTCTCACCCTAAAGCCCTGATGAACAGGGAAGGCTGCCACAGGGCCCAGGAGCATGGTGTCTCACCTCTAGGGCCAGATGTATTCCAGTGCAGTACTCCAGTGCAGTACTGTGGCCTTTTCGACTTGGGATTGTGGGAGGGAGCCATCCAGCCAGGAATTTTGTTGGTGCCTGGGATGTTGGAGACATCGTGCCATGTTCATTGGTGTGCTCACAGCCAGGAGAAAGGGGCTGTCTGCTGCCCAGAGGAAAGCTCACCTTCTCATGGGTAGGTCCACGGCTTCCTGTTAGGACTGTCCTCATCTGTGTATTCTGTGCCTCCCTCCATAGTGTCACCCCTATCTTCACACTGTCCAGTGTGTCTGGGGAGAGTCTGGACCTTCTGAAAGTCTTCCTGAATATCTTGCCGCCACTCACCAACAGCAAAGAGCAGGAGGAGCTCATGCAGCAGTTGACGGAATTCCAGGTAGTTGGTCCAACAACAGAAGGCGGGGGTGGGGGTGGGGGCTGGTTCTTTTGAGCCTGTGCCTGCTTACAAAGGTTGACTCTGCCAGCCTTCAGGGCAGGTCAGCCAGCCCTGGATGTAGACATTGATAGAGGCTGTTTTTTTTTTTTAGGTAGATGAAATCTACACAGTACCAGAGGTGGGCACTGTTGTTGGAGGAACTCTTTCCAGGTGATTGCCTTGTTTGCTACCTACCCCACTCAGCCCTCACATACCCTTGTACTTGAAGATATCTTGCCTGAAGGAGGAAACCCTGGGGTTAAACAGAGCTCATCTACAGAATGTGCTTGTTTGCAGATTAGGTATTCAATTTCAGAAGAGTTAGAGGAAGCCAAGTCTATTGGCTTATGAAGGAAGAAATTGTAGTATATGCTTGTAGGGAGTCTCCTGGCCCCTGAAACAGTATAGTTCATGGGCTCCAGAGAGAAACAGTGAATTCAGCTTATATCTCAAAGTAGGGAAGTAAGACTTTCTGAAGCAAAGGGTAAAACCCAGGTACATAACCTGTTCCTTCAGGGATCAGGTATTACCAAACCACAGGTAACAAACCAGCCATTACTGCTAGCCTTCAGAACCTGAATGCTGGGCTGGGCAGTCATCCCCTACTTGCAGTTCCAAAGGAATTTAGTGTTCCTTTGCCCTATTCAAGGGACTTAACCCCAGAAGGACAAAGTGCTCTGGGTGGGACCCTAGCAGAGAAATCGGAGGGGCCTATGCTGACACTGTGCTGCCTGCCGTCTGGGCTGCAGCGGGATTTGTCGTGAGGGAGACCAGCTGGTGGTAGGCCCCACAGACGATGGCTGTTTCCTGGAGCTGAGAGTATGCAGCATCCAGCGCAACCGCTCTGCCTGTCGTGTGCTGCGAGCTGGTCAGGCTGCTACCCTGGCCCTCGGGGACTTTGACCGTGCACTGCTACGCAAGGTGAGGTGGGTGAATGGGCTTGGAAGGGAATATAAAGAGAAGTGTCCAAACTAGCTCCTGAATGAGAAGTGTCTGAGGTGCATCAGGGAAACATGGCCTTTAATCCAGAGGGGTAGATCTAGTTACACAGACTATGAAAAGGGGTTGGAATACTGAAAAAAAAAAAAATGTAGCTCTCTATACATCACCAGGGTGCAGCAGGCTGAACACCCAGGACCTTAATAGAAAGCATTGAGGATGTGGGCATTGGAGAGTTTGGAGTACTGTCTTCTGAGGCTTTTCTTTGGAGTTATATAAGAAGGGAAGGAAGGAGATTCAGGAGCTGTAAAGGGTATGGAGTGACTGGGAAAGAGAGTCTAATGCCGGGTCTGCCCTTCCTGGACCTGGGGCTATGCCTCTTCAGGGCATGGTGATGGTGAGCCCGGAGATGAATCCTACCATCTGCTCGGTGTTCGAGGCAGAGATAGTCCTACTGTTCCATGCCACCACCTTCCGACGAGGATTTCAAGTAACAGTACATGTGGGCAACGTACGTCAGACAGCAGTGGTGGAAAAGATTCATGCGAAGGTGAGAAGGACCCAGCTGTGTCTCCATTTCTACAGGGAAAAGTCCGTACTCTGTCTCCATAAAGGAAAGTCTAACATCAGATTTGTCAGAGAGTTCCTTGATTCCACACAGGGAACAAAAACCCACACAGGGTGGGTAGCAGTCTACATGGGGTAGAGAACCAAGGCTGGTAGAGAATGGGATGAGAGGCACTGGCCAGGGCTGTGACCACTTATTTGCTGCAGGACAAGCTTCGGACAGGGGAGAAGGCAGTGGTACGTTTCCGTTTCCTGAAACACCCAGAATACCTGAAGGTGGGCGCCAAACTACTATTCCGGGAGGGTGTCACCAAGGGCATCGGCCATGTCACTGATGTGCAAGCCATTACAGCAGGAGAAGCCCAGGCCAGCATGGGCTTCTGAGTCCTCCAAGCAAGAACAGCTTTATTGTTGTCCCTACAATACATAAGGTGATTTCTGGCCATGCTGCCCACCATTGGCAGATCTGAGTGTTAATGGGTTAGGGACGAGTACCCTCTGCCACTTGCTTCTTGCTGCCTTTGTGGAGAGTTGTCTAGCTTGGTGTGCCCAGGGAGGGGCAGTCCTGAGGAAGAAGATTCAGGGCTCAGTGGCTGTGTGCCCACCTGGTTAGCTCATCAACCCTGGCAGCTGCATGACCTATCCATCGGAGGGAGCGGACTCCAGCCACCTGGGCCTGCTTATCAGGACTTGACATGGCTCATGAGTGTGATCTCTGCACTTCAGGAATTGTCACCACTGGGGTGGCCCTTGAAAGCACTTCTTTTTTCATACCTCTTCTGAAGGCCATGTAAGTTGCCCATTTCTACCTGATTGTGCACAAAAGATAGTGCTCCTAGGCATCCGGTAATTCCAGGGTCTGAATGGCAGACATGAATTACAGTGCTCCTACCCTGTGCTAAGACCTGAGGCCTATTCCTGGCTTTATCTTCCTTCACTCAAGGCCATTTCCCCAGATCTTCCTCTCATTGGCCCCACAGGTGCTATTTGTGGTGCTGGCCCAGGCGTGGGGCTGCCAAGCTGAGACTTGGCACACCAAAGGCCAGCTGCATGTCATTCAGTTTCCTCTTCAGTCATATGATATGTTGACTTCATGCTAGATCAAATAGTGTTTTCCTTTCCCAATCTGCTAGCTGCAGGACCTGACCCACAGTTCTGCATCCTGGCACCCCTTATCTCCATTCCTGCTCCCACATAAATTTTCTCTTCTTTTAGTAATTTGTAGTTACCATCCCCTTCCCTCTGTTGCAGGGACCCAGGAGGAAAGGGAAAGATGTCATATTTTCCTAATCTAGGCATGGACTCCCTCCTTTCCCTTTGTTAGCATCCTGGGTTCCTACGGACTCAGGGATTTGTTGGTTGAAGATTGTCTGCATATATATATATATGTATATATATTTAAATACACATATATTGTACAGAATAAAAATGTTTTATTGAATATACTGTGCTAATGCTTAAGACACAGGTTGTTTCTAAAGCTAGATTCTTCTCCAGGGTTATAGACAAGTGATACCCGCCATTGTTGAATGGAGACGCCGCCATCCCTTACCTCATTTGTCATTCTTTTCCTCTCCCCACAGGATCAGTGTTCTAGCCATATATTCTGACTCGTTTTGCTTCATTCTTCAAGTGAGCAGAGTATACAGTAAAACAGGCTCTCTCAGCTCAAATAGGTTGTCCTGGTATTTATAACAAGTTGTACCCCCGTCAGTGGTAGCCTTTGCTATTCTTTGTCAGAGGTTGGAAGATTAGAGTGCCAGCTCTTCGAAGATGAGTAGAATTTAGAGAGGAGCAGTAATGTGGTCCTTACACTTTACAGTTTTACAGCCTAAACTAGATTCTTGGAGCACTGAGGGCCACCTTAACCAAACGCAGCCTTTCTTCCTATTTCTGTGTTCAGATTACCTGATTATCATGTTTTCAAAACACTGCTAGGTCTCTGGAATTTCGGCATTACACATACTAGCCAAACACTACTACTGAGTTATATCCCCAACCTTTTCTGATTATCACATATTATAGGACAATAAACACAGTCTATGGCAAAACCAGGAACTATTTTTAGTGCTGATCTTGACAAAACAAGTATGTGTGGTCCAAGAGCCTATGCAACATTGTCTCTAGAGTTTTCCTTTTTTGAGATAGGGTCTCTGGCCTAGGCTGACTTCAGAGTTGCTATGTAACTGAGGATGACCTTGAACATCTGATCCTTCTGCTTCCAGGCCTGTTTTTAGTACTTTATATGGCCTGGTGCTGATATAGCCCAGGCTGGCACTTAACTCAGTCCCTCCTGCCTCAGCCTCCTTTAGCTGGGATCCTAAGTGTGTGCTGCCACACTTGGCAACAGCTGATTTTTAAAATACCATCGATTTAACTTGCTACCAAGAAGTCTGCAGTTAAATTTTCCTCCTGTTTTAAGAATTGTGTTGACTTCCTTCTGTGTAGCTGCTAACAAATGGCAGGCAGGCAGGCAGGCAGGCAGGCAGGTTATCCTGCAGCACAAAGAACTATAGCCTTCACCCAGCAAGATGCACATATGCCTGTCTGCTTGCCTCCCAGACTCTGTACAATGGGGCAGGGCTGGGCATTCCTAAAAAAAACAGGCATGCTGCTGGTATTGCCCTCTGTTGGTTCCACTAGCTATACTTCCCCCAGCCTTACAGTTTGGACCTCTAGAAATCCAATCAAAACTTAAGTTTCTGCTACATTACTTTCTCTTTTCAGATATGGTTGAACTGTTAACCCAAGCTGGCCTGGAACTTAACTCCAGTTACCACACTACCACATCTGTCTTGTTACTTTTCAAGTCCTGGGGATTGAACCCAGTGATTACATGCTAGAGAGGTGCTTTGGGTTATATCCCCAGGCTGACCTCAAACTTGTTATAAAGCCAAGGATGACCTCCTGCCTCCCCTCCAAAGTCATGGGATATAGCTTCATGCGATTTAAAAAAAAAAAAATATTTATTTTTATTTTATGTGTATAAGTGTATTGCCTGCATGTGTATGAGTGTACCCATGTCATGCAATGCCGTGGAGGTCAGAAAAGGGCTTCGGATTCCCCTGGAACTGCAGTTAAGGACGGTTTGTAGCCGCCATGTGGGTGCTGGGAATCGAACCTGGGTCCTCTGCAAGAGCAGTCAGTGCTCTTAACTGCTGAGCCACTCTCCAGCCCCAACTTCATGCAATTTTTAATCTTTTTTTCCAAGATTAAAAAGGAAAAGCCAGGTACAGTGGTATATACCTATGATGTCAGCTTGGCATACATCTTACCCCACCCCCCAACTAGTGTTGGAAAAAAAATCACTAGCAAACTACTTGCTACATCAATACAATATTTATAGAGAAATAAAAGTTTATAAGACAACCCCTTAAAATGTATTTTTATTGTCCCAGTCTTAGCAATGAGATAAATTTTCACTACATACACTCAACCAATGTCAAGCATCAAAACATGTATATACCAGGCAACTGTGAAAAAAAAATTTTTTTTTTTTGAGACAGGTCTCACTAAGCAGTCCTGGCTGGCTGGAACTTCAACTATCTAGAACAGGCTGGCCTCAAACAGGTATCTGCCTGCCTTTGCCTGCTACAAATCTAGTAGGGGGAAAACCACATAGTAAATTACTAAATTTCCTGCTAAATTTAGTGAATTTTATACCTTTTCCCTTGAAGTAAAATGCAAAGCCCCAATTTGTATGTGTACAACATTCTCCTACCCACTTAACCTACCACCTGGCTGGCTTAGCTTATCACTTTCAGTGGGCTTCATATATAGTTCAAGGTCCCCATATCAGAAAAACCTCAAGAGCTGATTCCTACAGGTAAGAATGGAGATAGTCTAAAGTTTTGAAGCCAGCATGGGCTAAACAATGAGACTCTCATTTAAAAAGGTTTTAAAATTCATTATCCTTTTGCACTTTGCCCACACTTATAGTAATGCTTTTTAATCAAAATATTTTTGCCTTTTTGTGTGTGTGTTATGTCCATAGGTTAGAAGAGGCATCAGGATATCCTAAAACTGGAGTTATGGACAATTGTTAAGTCACCATGTGGGTGCTGGGATTTGAACCTGGGTCTTCTTTAAGAGCAGCCACTGCTCTTAACCACTTAGCCATCTCTCCAGCCCAGCTTTTTCTTTTCTTTTCTTTTTTTTTTGCCCTGTAGCCCCAGCTGTCCTGGAACTCACTATGTAGATCAGGCTGGCCTTGAACTCACAGAGATTGGCCTGCCTCTGCCTCCTGAGTGCTGGGATTAAAGGCATGTACTACCATGCCTGGCAGTTTTTTTTTTTTAAAGATAGGGTTTAGAAACTGAACTGAGGACCTTGCACAAGTTACCCCAGGCAAGTGCTCTACCACCTGAGCTATAATACCCAGGATGCTCCCCGCCATGGCCTGTACTTATGAGTCATACTCCCCAAATACATAATTGGCAAGTCTCATTTTAGAGATAAAGTTTGAGGGAGTTTGCAACTAGATCTCTCTGGGGCCTAAGGCCCCATATATATAAACAAAGGATGGATTTTAACATTTCAGGGTTCTTATCCCATTGGAAGAGAGGACTTTTTTGTTATTAAATTCCTTGAGAAATGAACATAGTTCCATTTCTGCTACAAGCCTGAGGGCAGCACTAATGTGTTAATGGCTTAAAAAATGATTCCAGTGTCTGCATGCCATGGGGCCTAGGGCGTTTATTATTGGAAGCCAATGGGCCCTTGGGATTTCTTTTGCCTTGAGGAGATGTGGCAGGAACAGCCTGGGGTTTGGAAGTACAAGGCTGCAAAAAGGATTTCTGCAACTCCAATGCAAAATGATAGTCTATATGTTCTGGCATGTCCCACACTGGAACCTGGGAGTCACACTTCTCACAGAGCACTTTGTCCTCAGTGGCTATGAGACTGGGGGTAGTAGCTGCCTTCTGGGCTATCTCGACAGACATGTCTGGACTGTTGTGGACCACACCCATCTCTGTAGAGACTGCTTTAGAGAATACAGGCTTCAAATTCAACACTCTTTCACAAATAGGGGCACCATTTGAATACTCGGTTGGAAAACAGTTTGGTGACTCTTCAGAGTCAGACTGAGGACTTTGTGGAAGGTAAAAAGCTGAAGAATTATTAAGCTCTTTTTGCTTTAACAGTAGACTTTTCTGCTTAAAGAAGGGCTCAACTCCTGTAGTTAGGCTTGTTTGGAAGAGTAAAGCAGGCTTGGATGGTGACTTGTTCACTAATGTGGTAGGGGATGCAAACGAAGTTTCTTTAATTTTCTGCTTTTTGGCAGCCTTTTGGAAGAATGACTCTAGAGAGGTAGTTGCTTTTTTAGTGGTGGACACAGCAGGACCACTTTCCTGGGCCTTAGTTTCTGAGCTGGTAATTGGCACCTTTGTCTGAGAACTTGAGTCACCGCTCAAGAAGATGGTGATGTCTTTGCAAGTTGAAGGGGCAGAGGCAGAGAATTTGGTAGCGCAGAGGAAGAGCATTGTGAGGGGAGGAGACCTGTGTACAAAGCAATGGAACAAGGAAATCATCAAGTCACTCTTTTAGAGCTCAGATTCAATTCATAAATGATGGGTTCTCATTCTGCTATGCAAGGGAAACTATCCTTCTTAGTGTTTCTTTGTATTAATGTGATATATACTAAACTAGATCAGGAATACCAGAGAATCTGTGTTTCCAACAGTTTCCTAGAGGATGCTAATAATCACTGTTCTAGACCACTTTGAGAACCCCTGATCTTGTGACCAGCTACCTCCTGGCAGCGTGGATATTGCTGTATTTTATTCAGGGGAACAGCTTAAGGAGAGTTCAAGGTCATCCTCAGCTACATAAAATTATAAGTTACTATTTGGCCTTTTTTTTGGTCTTTTGAGACGGTCTCCCTGTAGCCCTGTTCCCACTGGCCTATGCAGACCAGGTTGGCCTTGAACTCCCAGAGATCCTCCTGCCTTTGCCTCACAAGTGCTAGGATGGCTTTTTTGGTTTTACGTAACTATGTCAGCTGCCATTTTTTTTTTGGTTTTATTTATGTTAACTGCCATGTCAGTGCTGGAAACCAAATTCGGGTCCTCTGCAAGAGGAGTCAATGCCCTTAACTGCTGAGCCATCTCTCCTACCCCTAAAGTTACAATTTGTTGAATATGGTGGCACTTGCCTATAATCCCCAGTACTTGAGCTTAGTTCAAGAAAGGCTAGCCTGAGCTACATAGAAGAGCAAAAGAAAAATGTCACTATTCCCAGGTTTTATGCTTTGATACCATGTTATCAAATGCTGCTGAAGAGCATTATGATTTTCAAATAAGGTTTCATATGAACACAGCACCACAATTAGCATTCAGCAATTAGTATTTCATTATGTAAGACAGTTTAATATTTAAAGAATAAGCAAATATACCAGTAAGTAAAAGCTACAGTTCTGTGTATCCAATGCCAATATATTTAGATAAGCAGTACCTCAGGTGAACTGACATTTATTTTTATAATTTTTAATATGTCTGTAGCAAATAATTATATTTCTCTCATTTCCATAGTGAATTCACAATATTCCTTTTTGGATTTCTGGATACTGGAATGCACCAAATAGAGGCCAAAAAGCCGCAGCTGAGCTTCCTACTTTGCGTTTTCTCCCTTAGACCTTGATCATGCCCGTTAGAGGTACTGACAGCCTGAGTCACAAAGAGCAGGTGAAAGTACTCAGATGCCCACTTATTTTAGAGCAAAGTCACAAAACAGCCTTTTGAGATGAATTTGAAAATAAAAAAAAAAAATCTCACCACTCAGTTTGGATTCCAGAAGTATTACAGTTCCTGATGGCAGCAAATGCATCCTGGCTCATCTTATGAGCATCATAGCGGGTAAGGGCACAGCAACGGCGAAGGCTGCTGAGACGTCTGTCTCCTTGTACACGAACACTCACAGCCAACTGAGTGGCCACCCTGTCATTCTGTGGGTAGAAAAGGATTGAGACCAGAAACAGTTACCAAGAGCATCTGGATTCTATACACTCAACTACATGAACGAAAATTAAAAGAAGAGGGTAACAATGGTTTGGAAACAGTCATTTAAAAGCCAAGAATAGGGCTGGGTGTGTAGCTCACACTTTACATAGTGAGACCCTGTTTCAAGGCAGTAAAAAAAGCTGAATGCAGAGTTAATAAGCAAGGGATGAGGCTGTTTGCCCCAGTACTATTTATATAAATTACAAATGCACTTTGTTATTATAAAGGGTACAAAGACATTTTCTACATCTTATATAATAATGGAACAGATTCTAAAGTGCAAAATTTTCTGAATAGTTCAAGTACGTTCAAGGTCAGCCTGGTCTACATACTGAGTTCCAGGACAGCCTGACTACATAATTCCACACATAAAAGATTTGTGCTAGGTCTAAGAACATAAGGAACATGTACAAAATCCTGGGTTTGAGCCACAGCACTGGGAACAACAACAAAAAAGTCAAGACAGAATACACAAAACCCTGGGCTGGCTTCATAAACCAGGTATGGTACATGTCTGTAATCATAGTGCTCCATAGGCTCTAGAGAGAGGTCATCAGCTACACAGTGAAGATTGAAGCCAGCCTGTGACACATGGGTTACTATCTTTTTTTTTTTTTTTAAAGTATGTTTTGACAGCTGATGGGAATGGAACAGAGTTAAGTGAAAATGGGACTCCCCTGAATAGTTTTTGTGACAAATACCTACTGAAATCTACAGTAGGTATCTAGGATGTACAGACTGAAATCTTTGATCAGCTTGTCATTCTTCTGCCTGAATAGTATGCTTAAAGTAGCAGAAATCTCTAGTACTTCTCCTCTTTTACAACCATCTATAGAAAATAATGTAGAATTCCTCTAGAGACAGCAAGCATTGACTTCTAGGTGAAGTTTGAGCATTAAACTTTTGTCAGCCAAGACAAAAACCCTGTAACTCTGTAACTGAGTGTCCACTGAGATACAAAAGAAGACAAAGTCCAGAACCCCATGGAATTTTTTAAGGGGTGTAAATGTATAGTATATGGATGTATATGCACCTGTGTGCAGATGTACATGCCGTACTGAAGGCACCAGGGCGTTCTTCTCTATTTCTCTTTCAGTCTTGTTCCCTTGAGACAGGATCACTCCTACTGGGCTTTCCTACCAGGCTGACAGCCAGCAAGCCCCAGTAATCCTTCTGTCTCTGCTACCCACAGTGCTGTGGTTGCACAGCCACATCTGGCTTTTTACATGGGTGCTGAGGATGCAACCTCATGCTTACATAGGAAGTGCTCTTACTGAGCCATCTCCCCAGCCAGGATCTTATGTTGTAATAGAAGCTATAGATAATGAACAAGATGTCCTACGAATGACTATAGCTGGGCGTGGTGGTGCATGCCTTTAATCCCAGCAGAGGCAGGAGGACCTCTGTGAGATTGTGGTCAGTCAGGTCTACATAGCAAGTGCCAGGCCAGCTGAAGCCACAGGGAGATCCTGTCTCAAAAAGACCAAAAAAGAAATGTAGCAGAGTGAGGAGACTTCCTTGAGAAGCCCATACCCATGCTCTCATTTTTATTTTATGTGTATTAGTGCATTGCTTGCATATGTGTAAGTGCACCCATATCGTGCAATGCCCTCGGAGGTATCGGTGCTGGGAATTGAACCTGGGTCTCCTTTGCAAGAGCAATCAGTGTTCTAACTGCTGAGCTATCTCTCCAGACCATGTATCTTATTCTTTCCCTGAGCTCCTCTCTTGCTATTAATACCTGTTCTTAAATCTGTTAATCTTTTAATGAATAAACCTCTGCTTCATTTTTTAGGGTAAGATGGGGTGATGGCAGCTGGTAACATGACAGCATGACTGAGGAAGGCCTCTTGAAGGTGGTGAATATTGAGCAGACCTAAGTGGGAAAGCAAATTTTGAGAACATAGGAGTAAAAATTCTCTAGGGAAAATGCAAAGGTGCTAAAATGAGAGCTTGCTTGTGTGTTAGATGGACATGTGGCCTGGTGCAAAGTGAGGGGGAGAAGACAGAAGAGGTCAAAGAACCAGAGACTAGGTCATATTTGTAGAATAAAAAATAAAAATTCTTAGTATGATTTAGGTACGAAAGGAACCTACCAGAATGTTTTAAACAGTGACCAGATCTGCTGTCTCAACTTCTCAAACCCTTTGGAGCTTAGAGGGCTGGAGAGATGACTCCTGTAAGAAAAGCCAGTGCTCTTAACTGCTGAGCCATCATCTCTCCATCCCCTTGATTTTTTTTTTTTTTTTGGTCAAGGATGACCTTGAATCCTGGTAATTGGTAGTGCTGGGGATCCAACCTATAACTTCATGCTTGCTAGGCAAGCACTTTACCAACTGAACTACATCCTCACCCCCAACATGTTCGGTTTTATGGGCTTATGTTAAAAAGAAGATAAAAGAGATGGCTCAGCAGTAAAGAGTACTGGCTGCTCTGACAGAGACCCAGGTTTGGTACCCAGCTCAACTGGCAGCTAACAACTGTCCATTAACTCCACTTCTAGGAGATCCGGCGCTCTCTTCTGGCATTCGTGGGAATTGCATGCATGAGTGAGTGCACTTATATACATGCAGGCAAAACACTCAAAAAAAGAGGAACTGGAGAAATGGGCTGAGTAGTTAAGAACACTGACTGCTCTTGCAGAAGACTTGGATTCCATTCCCAGCACCCACATGGTGGCTCATAACTGTCTATAACTCCACAGACATTGCATGTCATGGATGCACTTAATACATGTGGGCAAGACACATATACATAAAAAGAAATACGATTTTTTTTTAAAAAAAAGAATATAAAAGAGTTCTTAGTCAAGTTTGGTAGCTCATGTCTGTAATCCTAGCACTTGGGGGCCTGAGAATGGGAGAATATTGGTAAATTCAAGACCAGCCTGGACTGCATAATGAGACCCTGACTTAACAAACAAAATTTCTTAAAATTCCCTAGGTTTAAACCATTTTTTAAATCTTTGTTTCTTCTCCGTAGAGGAAGGAACAGATAGTATTTAAATCCCAAAGCCCACCCCAAGAATATAAAAGAAAATCTTACATCATTTCGGTCTTTGGTCAGTCTCTCCTCCAGTTCCAGGGCTAACTGCAGGAGCCACCACTGTACCTGAAAAGTATGAAACTTTAGTTTTTCATTTAAATATGCATATTATAAAACCAGACAGTGGATCCCTATAGTTAGATTATAGAATTCTCAGTAATCTGCCTTCCTCTAATTGAGGATTTTCAGTCAGGCATGGTAGTATGATCTATTATATGAGACTTGAGAGGCTGAGACAGGATGATAAGTCCCAAGGCCTGCCAGAGCTACATAGCAAGACTATTTCAATAACAAAAAGAAACTATTTGGGTATGTATAACTAGAGAGATTGCTCAGTATGTAAGAGTGCTTGCTGTGCAAGCATGAGGACCTGAGTTTGAATTCCCACCACCCATGAAAGAAGCTGGGCAGGGCTACACATGGACCTGTAACCCAACATAGCTCCAAATTCAGTGAGAGACCCTATCTCAATAGAACAAAACAGAGTGACAAAACAGGATACCAGATGTCTTGCTATGGCTTCTGCACATGCATGCACACTGACATACATGCACATACACCATACACGTGTATATATACCACACACCCAAAAATATTTTTGAGGTAGGATCTTGCTATGTAACCAAGGCTGGTTAACTCTTACGTAACTACTTCAGCTTCCTAAGTGCTGGGATCACAAGTATGTGCTCCCACGCCCAGGCTCAAGATTGTCATTTCACTTTTCCTGCTGGTACGCCGTCAGGTAGAAAGAACCTAAACTGAGTGAGGCATAATATGCTAGGTTTTTGAATTTCCTATCTAGCAAAAAGACAAGAAACTATTTTCAATTTCAGTCAATTCAATTTTATTTCTTTGAAAAAAGGGGTGTACTAGGTATTTCAACACAAAAAGCCATTTCCATTCCTTTTAGACATCATAAAGGTCCCACAAACCCAGCTATCAAAACCCACTTAACCCCCTTAAAGAGGCAGTGTTCTGTCAAGAATGTCCACTTACGTGCTCCCGAGTAGCTAGAGCTGTTTTTCCTGGGAAGTTCTTGCTACAGCCAATGGTTTGGGGTAATTGCCTGGGTTTAACTGGATCATGTTCAATCCCTCGGCACATGGCATATAGCCAAGACCTAATAAAACCAGCAACAGACTCAGGTGAAAAGGAACTATTCTCTTTGTGATCCTTTCTTTGCTTTTTGAGAGGGTTTCCTATGTAGTTCATACCCCCGCACTGCTGGGTTATAGGTGAGTGCCACCACATCTGATTAATTTACCTATTTATGGACAGTTATCACTATGCAACCCAAGCTGGCCTCCAACTCATGATCCTCCCTGCCTCAGTCTCCCATGTATTGAGATTATAAGCCTGTGCCCCTATGTCCAACCTAACTATTCTAATTAATCTTGTTAAAACAAAATACCTTCATTAGCCTTTTATCCTCTTCATGAAAAATGACTGAGGCTGGGATGTAGCTCAATGGTAGAACATTTGTTTAGTATGCCCAAGGCCCTAGGTTCAATCCCCAGCACTGAAAAAAGAAAAAAATGATAGCTGGGTGTGGTGCTGAATACCTATAATCCCAGCATTTATGAGGTGGTAGAGACAAGAGGATCAGAAATTCTGAGCTAGCTTGTGCTACATGAGTAAAAACATAACAAGGGGGGAGGGGGGACCCTGGAGAGATGGCTCAACGGTTAAGAACACTGTTCTTGCAGAAGACCCAGGTTTGAATCCCAGCACCCACATAGCAGCTAAAAACTGTAACTCCAGTCCCAGGGGATCTAAAAGCCTCTTCTGTCCTCCGTGGGCATTGCATGACACGGGTGCACTTACCTACATGCGGGCAATACACGCATACACATAAAATAAAAATAAACTTTTTTAAAAAAGCAAGGGAAACCGTATCCAAAATTAAGGATACCTAACCTCTGATAGAACTATTGCCTTTCTGAAATAGTTCCAATATAATATATTGGTAAGGAGAACACTAATTCTACTTTCTAAAATTAAGTCATGATTTGTATTTTTGGCAAAGTGCCAAAATGCAGTCCCCTAATTCATATATATCTCCAGGTCTTTCTGTGCTTACTAGGGTTGAAACACAAGCACTCATATTATCAGCAAATTAACATACATAAATGATGTTATGTATGTATCCCAGGTACTTTTGCAGCTGGGAGAAGAATGGCAGATTTCAGGCAGAATTGCAGGTTCAAGGCCTACCTGGGCAGCTTAGTAAGACTGCCTAAGAATAAAAAGTAAGGCCTGGGTTCAATTCCAAGCACCAAAAAAATAAATAAGGTAATAGGCTTCAACTAACAATTCCTGTACATCAACCATCCAGGTATATATGAAAAAACTTCTTTAGAATGAAAGCCACAGTGACCTAATTTTTATTCATTTTTAGAGTTAAAAAAATATATTTTATTGCTTTTATGGCTGGGTGTGGTGGCATACACCTTTAACCCCAGCACTTGGGAGGCAGAACAGGTGGATCTCTGAGTTCCTAGCCAGCTGGGGCTACAGCAAGACTCTGTCTCAAAAAGACCCCCCCCCCCCAAAAGCAATAAAATACTTGTTTGTTTTGGTATTTTGGAGACAGGGTCTCCCTGTAGCCCCAGCTGGCCTGGAACTCACAGAGATCCACCTGCCTCTGCCTCCCAAGCGCTGGGATTAAAGGCGTGCACCACCATGCCCGGCTGATATTTTATTGCTTTTATTATTTACTTAATTTTTTATTTTTTGAGATAGGGTCTCCCTGCAGCACCAGCTGGCCTGGAACTATGTAGACCAGGCTGGCCTCAAACTCACAAAGATTCGCCTGCCTCTGCCTCCCAAGTGCTGGGATTAAAGGCGTGTGCCATGGGGTATTCATGTGGGAGTGAAAGTGGGTGCAGGTGCCCCTCAGATCCTCCTGAAGTTGGAGTTATAGGCAGTTGTAAGCTTCGTGACATGGGTGCTGGGAACTGAATTTGGGTCCTTAGTAAGTGCAGTGCTCATTCTTAACTGCTGAGCCATCTCTCTAGCCCTATGAGCTAATATTTTTAAGAACAACCAACCTGTGAAATTACCCCAAGGAACATATGTGAGGTTTAGTGTGGTGGTGCCTGCCTGTAATCTCAGAACTTGGGAGGTAGAAGCAAGAGGATCAGCAGTACAAGGCTACCTTCAGTTACATGTCAAGTTTGAATCTGGCCTGTGATGTATGAGACCCTGTCTCAAGAAACAAAAAACAGAGAATGAACAAATGTTAACCTAAAGAAGGGTCTTTTACTAGAAGCTTTTGTTTCTGTTTAAACTTCGCATCTTTGTAAAGGTTGTATTTGGAAAATGATATAAACCACTTACCCATTCTTCTCTCCAAAATGATTCTGGAGCTGGGATTCAGTGAACTGGGTCAGTTCACCCATGTATTCTACCCCAAGAATTTTAATGACAGAAGCCCCTAGCTTTCCTCCGAGGCTACGGCTAAAGAGGAGATAAAGAATTTACAGGTTACATCATAAATATGTAGTGGTTAACCAAAAACAAAGACATTCTGCTGCTCCAAGTAGCTCTTCCAGAAAGTCAAGAGAAAATCAGAGTATGTATTCTGGTAGACTCTTAATTTTCCAGCATAAAACTGGTGAGGGCTAGGGAACTCCACAGATAAATGTGCTTGCCCGGCAAGCCTGATGATCGAAGTCTGACCCCGAACACACTCTGGAAAGAAAGAACCAAATCCACGCACGAACCTGCACTGACACACACATCCATACACACAAAAAATAGATAAAGCTAGGTCCTGGTTAGGACCTGGAAAAAAATTAACAGTAGCATAAGTAAAACACTGTTCACTGGTGTTATCAAGCAACTTGTACATAAAAACTTTTTTCTGGGGAGCTGGAGAAATGGCTCAGCAGTTAAGAGCACTGACTGTTCTTGCGGTCAGCCCAAATTCAGTTCTCAAATTTGGTTCAAAACTGTAACTTCAGTTCCACGGGATCCAATCCCCTCTTCTGGCATTCTTGCATTATGCACATACATACATTCAGGCAAAATACTCATAACACATAAAATAAGCAAATCTTTAAAAAAAAAAAAGGATAGGGATGCAGGGTGAGGCAATTGGGGTACCGCTTCAGTGGGTCTATCTAAGACTCCCAAATTGCTCTTATCTATAGTGGGAAAAGAAAGTTCTTGACTGGTGAATAGGAGATGAGAAGGAGAAATAAAGGCGAGAGTAAATGGAACTACAAAAAAGTCAGAATAGGGCAATTTTCAAATGTTCATATGAGAGTCCATTGGAATTTCTTGACGAGAGCTTCCAAAAGCATCCCTCTATTGGGTTCTTCCTCGTTTCTCTTTTGTCTGCCAAGGGAGAGTGATGGATTCAGGATTTGCTTTCAGGCATTTTGGTAGCTATTGGAGTGGTTAGAATCAGTGTCAGTTCCCTCTCAAAGGCTTCTAGATAGGGGGAGAAAACAAATTTGGCCATCGTTTTAGAACAATAATGGGTTGTCTCCCTTAGCTACAGGTGGGCACTACAGTGTTGCAGACCAAGATTTGAAGTCTTACATCTGAGCAGCAGTTTCTGATTCACAACAAAATCATCAATGAGATATAACTGTCTAAATAACTTTTTATATGGACTTAAGCCTAATGTCTGAGAAGTGTTATCCCTTGAACGTTTAAGGAAATATACTGATCATTTTACTCTTTGGTTATACTTTCCTTTTGGGTGTTTAAGACCATACAGTTGGCCCAAATAAATCAATTTATATTTACATATTTATATGTTCAGCATGGAAGAAGCCAGAATTGTCTGCGTCCCAATCCCTATCCGCAAGCTGGGTAACCTCTTCAGAGGATGGTGTGATAAGAATAGGAGATAGGAATTGGCTAGGCAGTTAGGGTAAAAAGACCCCAAAGAAAAGTAGCCAGCTTCTTGGCTAAAAGTCAAAATGTCCTTGGGCCTCTTAGCAACATACTCCATTCCAAAGACCAAAAATGTCCAAAGTATTTGGGAGCTCTTATCTAATCTTTAAAACATTTTAGGAAGTTGGGTGTGGTGGCACACGCCTTTAATCCCAGCACTCGGAGGCAGAGGCAGGTGGATCTCTGCGAGTTCCAGGACAGTTTGGTCTACATAGTGAGTTCCAGGACAGCTGGGGCTACAGGGAGACCCTCTCTCAAAAAGACCAAAAAAAACCAAAAAAACAAAAAAAACCCCAAAAGATTTTCCCTCTTCAAAGGGGGGGAATGTTAGAGTAGCAAAAAGTCCCATAAAGAAAACAGAAGAGAGAGTACATGAAGTTATCAGAAAAAAGTGATGGGGAGATATGGGAGGAGTTGGAGGGGAGGGAGTGGGCATGGATTCTCAATAAATCATTAAAAAAAAAAAAAAAAGAGTACTTGTACTCCCTAAACTTTTTTTCCTCTGCTGTTGCTTTATTTTGGTGGTATTCTTACATATAAAAACTTCAATCGTGTAAGGCCTACTCTCCCATTTGGGGATTAAAATTCCAAACCCCAGGGGCTGGAGAGATGGCTTCATGGTTAACAGCACTAGCTGTTCTTGTACAAGACCTGGGTTTGGTTCCTAGGATCCATATAGCAGGGGATCCAATGCCCTCTTCTGACCACCACCGACACTGCACAACTTAGGTGCACTTACATACATGACACTCATAAAATAAAAATGTTAAAAATTCCAAACCCCAAACAGTGATCCAAACTCCCTTTTCCATGGTCAACATTCTGCAGCCTAGCTTCTACTTCATGTCTTAGTTCACTGAAAATAGCTTACATTTTCCCTTCTTTTGTTTTTGGTTTTTTTGGTCTTTTTGAGACAGGGTCTCCCTGTAGCCCCAGCTGTCCTGGAACTCACTATGTAGACCAGGCTGGCCTTGAACTCAGAGATCCACCTGCCTCTGCCTCCCAAGTGCTGGGATTAAAGGCGTTGTACCACCACACCCAACGGTCTTTTTTTTTTAATATTTGTTATTTTATGTGTATGCGTGTACTGTTGCGTGTAGGTAACTGCACCCATGTCATGCAGTGCCCGAGGAGCATAGAAAAAGCTGTTGGAGCCCCTGGAAATGGAGTTACGGACAGTTGTTCACTGCCATGTGGGTGCTGGAATTTGAACTGGGTCTTCTGCAAGAACACTGGTGTTCTCAACCACTGAGCCTTCTTCTCTCCAGCCCCTAGTCTTTCTTTTAATGCCTAGTTTGAGAGCATTCAGCAGCTCTGAAATCACTAAGCCAGGTGTGACGTGTCTCACCATAAAGTTGGAGTCCCAAGCACTAGAAAGCTGAAGCAGGAGGACTGTACTGAGTTTGAGGCCAGCCTGGGTTGGAATGAGACCCTACTCAATGAGCAGAGAAATAAGTAAACAAACAAGACAGAAAAATCCAGCTGGACATGGTAGGTCACACCTGTAATCCTAGTACTTATTTATTTTTATTATTTTATGTGTATGAGTTTTTGCATGCCTTGTGTGTACAATGCCCCTGGAGGCCAGAAGGCAGCACTGGATCTCCTGGAGCTGGAGTTAGAGACTGCTGTTATCCACCACATGGGTGCTGACAACCCAGGTCCTCTGCAAGAGCAGCCAGTGCTCTTAACCACTGAGACATTTCTCCAGCCTCAATCTTAGCACTTAGGTGGCTGAGGCACAAAGATCACCACCAGTATGAGGCCAGCCTAGGCTACAGTGAGATCATCTCTTAACTTCCAAAAGAAGTAAAATTTCTGTTATATGTTAATAGACTTGAAAAAAAAAAGCCAGAGGGAAATAAACATAGTGTTAAAACTCAGACCTTTTTTGTGGGTTTTGTGTGTGCATGCATGCTGTATGCTCATATGGAGGTTAGAGATGTCAAGTGTCCTGCTCTATCATTCTCCATATTATTTCCATACTTGGCTTTTTACATGGGTGCTGGGGATTTGAACTCTGGTCCCCATGTTTGAGCAACATGTGCCACCTTGCTAGGCTACCCAGCCTTTTCTGAGACAGGATCTCCCTGTAGCCCTAACTGGCCTGGAATTCACTATGTAGACCAGGCTGGCCTTGAACACGCAGAGATCTGCCTGTCTCTGCCTTCCAAGTGCTGGGATTAAAAGCATGCACTCGGCTTATATGTCTTGTGTTTTCACATGGTCAGGCTATGTAGCCCTGGATGACCTGGAGCTCACTACACAGACAGGCAGACAGGCCTTGAATTCAAAGACAATCCTTTCTCTGCCTCTTCAATACTGGGATGCAATCCCATGTCCAACTATCAGGTCATTTTTTAAAAATTCAGAATTAAGTGTCTACCACAGATAATCCAGAATTGAAAATTCATTAAAAAAAAAATGTAGTTGATTACAGTGGCACACATCTTTAATCTCAGTACTCAGGGAGTCAGAGCAGGTAATCTCTGTGAGTTCCAAGCCAGCATGGACTACAAAGCCATTTCTAGGTAGCCAGGGCTACATGGTGAGACCCTGTCTCAAAAACCAAAACAAAATAAAACAAATAAAACGTCTCAGAGTATTTTTCAAATTTTTCTATGTTGTCACTCTACCTGACTGGTACCTATTTTTCCCTGGTTCCAATCCTTTATGAGGCACCACCACAAACAACTACAAGCAGATAGCATTCACATGGATACGAGACTGAGGGTCCGCTCCGCATACTTACATTTTACGAATTGGCATCTGGCTGAAAAGCTGTGGAACTGACCCATGTGAGACAAGCGTTTGGCGGTTGGGCTTGTTTAGTCCACAGGCGAGCTTTGCCAGGACCTGGTACATGGAAAGCAATGAAGTCCTTATATTGTCAGTCTAGCTTTGCAGAGCTGGTAAATATTAACACATGCACACAGAAAGAGGAACATGTTAAGGGGTACCCGAACAGTTTCCACATTAAAAACAAAAACAAAGCCTCAAAACTTCTCAAACCTTTGTGCAGCACAACACCCTCTGGCACAAACGCTGTTCACTATCATCATATGACCTCATTGTTCTCCCTACAACTCTAACATTCTCAGTTTTCCACGAGTCTTTTTCTTTTCTGTTTTTTGAGATCTTCTCATTTCAATAGGTTTAGAAAACAGAAGAAACTCAAGATCCACTTCTTACCATGTCAATATGAAAATGCTAAAATGGGCAGAGAATGGCTGTACATGCCTATAATCCCAACACTTGGGAAGAGGAGGTGCCTCAACTAGGTAGGGAGTTCCAGAGGCCATTCTGGGCTACATGAGTTGGAGATGGCTCAGTGGTTAAGAGCACTGGCTGCTCTTGCAGAGGACCCAGGTTCCACCACCCACATGGCAGCCAACAACCATTCTTAACTCCAGTTCCAGGGGATCCAACGCCCTCTTCTGACCTCCAAGAGCATTGCATGACACAGGCGACTTACACACACACACACACACACACACACACACACACACACACAGGTAATACACATACATGAAAATTTTTTGAAACATTTTTTTGTTGTTTTCTGTTTTTTTTTTTTGAATCAAGAGTCTCAACTGTGTAACCTGGCTGGCCTGGAACTCACTATGTAGACCAGGCCAACCCTGAACTCACAGAGATTCGATTGCCTCTGCCTCCCAAGTGCTGGGATTAAAGGTGTGCCCCATTATGCTTGACTGGTGGTACACACCTTTAATAAAGAATTTAGGGGCAGAGGCAGTCCAATCTCTGTGAGTTCAAGGTTAGCCTCATCTACATAGTGAGTTCTAGGCCAGCTGGAGCTGGAGACTCTGTCTCAAAAAGATCAAAAGGGGAAAACAACAACAACAAAAAAATTTGTACCATCATACCCAGCTTTTTGTTTCTTGCTAAAAATATTTTATTTTAGGCTGGGTGTGGTGGCATACACCTTTAATCCCAGCACTTGGGAAGCAGAGGCAGGTGGATCTCTGTGAGTTCAAGGCCAGCCTGGTTTACAAAGCAAGTTCCAGGCCAGCTGGAACTACAGGGAGACCCCATCTCCAAAAGACAAAAAAAAGTATTTATTTTATGTGTGCGAGTGTAGTGCATGCATGTGTGTAAGTGCACCTGTGTCAGGCAATACCTATGGAGGTCGGAAGAGGGCATCGGATCCCCTGGAGCTGGAGTTAAGAATGGTTGTTGGCTACCATGTGGGTGCTAGAAATCAAACCCAGGTCCTCTACAAGAGCAGCAAGTGCTCTTAACTGCTGAGCCATCTCTCCAGTCCCTTAGGCTAAGTTTTTTGAGACAGTCTTGCATAGACTAGGCTGGCTGGGAACTTAGTATGTAATGAAGGCTAGCCTGCCTCTACCTAATTGATGGGATTACAGGTATGTACCACCATGCCTGGCTTTTAACATGAATTTTAAATAAAAATTCAAAGCATACAGGTAGCAATGTTAAGTATCCCACTAATACCTATCCTTGGTATATTTTACTAAAGATATTGATGCTTTTCTTTGAAATATACAATAAGCCTTCACCTTATTGTGTGAAATGCCAGCAGAACACTGAAAACCAGTCTGCTGCTCTATGGCTGCTCTCATTTCCTCCACAATCACTGCCCCCACAGTGAGCTGCAGGTCTGGAGAGGTGGTGTTATCAATCTGAAGAGAATCAAGCCATTGAAGCAACCCTTGTTTTCTCATCTCCTCTGAAAAATATTAAGATCACATTTAGACATTTTAAAAATTCATTATTTTCAGACATGAGCCACATAACACTACTTGTTCAAGGCATATGATAGTATTTGCCATTGAAACTTTATGTGTAATAGGCTATATGATCTCTTTCTGTAAACAGATGGTTGTACAATGATGAAATTACCCAATCACACATTTCCTAGAACACAATCCTGCCATTAAGCAGTGCATGACTGTGTTTAATTATATTAAACAACAACAACAACAACAAAGCTTTGATTTCAGGTACTTTATATATACTTTGAGTTCAGGTACTGCACTTGGGAGGCAGAGGCAAGAGGATCTCTGTGAGTTCAAGGCCAGCCTGGTCTACATAGTGAGTTCCAAGCCAGCTGGGACTACAGGGCAACCCTATCTCAAAAAGACCAAAACAAAACAAAACAAAAAAATGCATAGTTCTTATGTGCACTACTGAGCTACACTCCCAGACCATGAGCAATGATTTAAAAACATGTTCTTTCAAATTTTCTTCCTTACACTTGAAAACTCTCCTCAATTAGAAAATATTCAGAATTGCCGGACATGTGGTACATGCCTATAATCCTAACACTCAGGAGGCAAAGCCAGGAGGATCACTGCAAGTTTGAGGCCAGCCTGGTCTATACAGCAAGCTGTCCCCAAAAACAAAACAAATATAAAACCCAGAAAAATATTCATAATTAACTCAAGCTTCAACTTCAATTTAAATGAATACTTACATTATTTTTAGAGGCTGATTCCAGTTAAGTAGTTTAAAATCCAACCACAGGATTTTCCTGACAAGCTATTTAAGTTAAATATAGCTTTGTATTCAGGGCCTTGAAAATACCTTCACTATCCATGATAGTGAACTTGAAACCATTCATAAATTCAGAGTTGTAAAACAGAATAAAATATAATTATACAGCAAAGGAAATGGATACACAGGAAACAGATACAGACATGATAGTTTTAAAAGGCAAGCACAAGGCAAGAAAACACACTCAAGAGTACTTAGGAGAGTTCACTTAAAGGTTCACTTGCAAGCATAGAGAAGATGGGGACAAGGAGCTTGCAGAAGGGAATGCTTTCCAATGCCAGTGACTGTTGCTTCTCTCCACTGCCAGCCATCTCCCTCCAGCACATGATCATGACACTGAGCAAAATTTTCTCTCTGTATGGCTTTTTTCTTAGTGATCCGGCAGTCCTGATTCAACTCGATTACACTGAATACAGGCAAATCTTTCTATCCCTACGCTTCTTAAGCTCTAACCCCTACACCTCGGCCTCCCAGAACAACTCCTCTTATACTTACCATTACGTAAAATTTCAAACTAAAGAACTAAAATCAAACTATATCTTCCTTCTCCAAGGTTCCCTTTCCCAAACACCCCTTGCTACCAACAAAGGCTTAGAATCCAAAGAGCATTTAGCTTCTTTCCTTTTACTCTCATTATATAATTACTTAGTCAACAGAGCCCGCTTCAAACTATTTCACATATCCACTGCATCTCATCCTACCTTACCCAGGCTTTTTTATTTATATTTTACTCATTATCTTCATTTTGTATGTATGAGCATATTGCCTGCATGCATAAGTACACCCATGTCATGCAACGCTCATTCACGGAGGTCAGAAGAGGACGTCAGATTCCCTGGAACTGGAGTTTAGGGCAGTTGTTAACTGCCATGTGGGTGCTGGGAATCAGTCAGTGTTCATAACCTCTGAGCCATCTCTCCAGCCCTACCCAGGTTTTATTTCTTAACGAGACTGCCTTTTTTTTTTTTTTAATTTTAGTTTTTATTAGTGTGGGTGTGGTTATTCTTGAATGCAGGTGCCCTCGGAGGCCCTAGGGGAATCAGATTCCTTGGAGCTGGAGTTACAGGTAAGCTGCCCAACATGGGTGCTAGGAACCAAATGCAGGTCTCCTCCAAGAGTAGTACAGGCTCTTTATTGAGTCATTTCTAGTCTTCTTTATTTTACACCTGTAATTATATTGTCTGCATGTGTGTAAGTGCACCTGTGTAGTGCAATGCCCACAAAGGTCAGAGAGGGTATCGGATTCCCTGGAACTGGAGTTAGAGACAGGTGTTGGCTGTCATGTGGATGCTGGAAATAGAACCTGGGTCCTCTGCAAGAGCAGTCAGTGTTCTTAACTGCGGAGTCATCTCCCCAGCTCCCTCCCCTTAGCTCTTCAAAAAAATTTTTAAATTACACTTTAAAAAAATTTTATGTGTATGAGCATACTGCCTGCATGTATGTGAGTGCACCCATGTCGTGCAATGCCACGGAGGTCAGAAGAGGGCTTCAGATTCCCCTGGAACTGGAGTTAAGGGTTCATGTGGGTGCTGGGAATCGAACCCGGGTCCTCTGCAAGAGCAGTCAGTGCTCTTAACCACTAAGCCAACTCTCCAGTCCCTAAATTACATTTATTTGTGAGTGGTTTTTTTTTTTGGGGGGGGGGGTTACATGAACACAGGCACAATTGTGGAGATCACAGGACAACTTTTGGACGTCAGTTCTTTCATTCCACCATGCAGGTCCTGGGGCTCAAACTCAGGTTATCAGGCTTGGCAGCAAGTACCTTTTCTTGCAGAGCCATCTTACTGGCTTAACCATGTTAAACTAATTCTTCAACTCTTAAACTAACCTGTTGGTCTGAGAATGTAGCTCAGAAAAAGATCACTGGCCAACATGCTAGAGACCCTAGATTTGATCCCCAGTGCAAAATGAAAGAAAAAAGCTTCAAATCCAAAATTAACTACACAATTTCTACAATTAAATATTTTTAAAGTTATTCATTTGTATGTTTTATGTATATGAGTGTTTTGCCCGCACATATATAAGTGCACCATATGTATGTAATGCCCAGGGAGGCCAGAAGAGGGTGTTGGATCCCTTGGAACTGGAGTTACAGATGGCTGTGCACTGCTCTGTGGGTACTGGGAACCAAAGCCAGGTCCTCTGCAAGAACAGGCGGTACTCTTAACTGCTGAGTCATCTCGCCAACCCCAATGGAAATATGCTTAAATACTACTGTTATCGTTATCTTCCAGTTCAAAACTGCCATTGCTTCTCTCACACAACAGAAAAAAGTACCAGCTTTGTAAGATGGCCATGAAGAGCACTGGCCTGTCTCAGTTTTTCTCAGATTTGTGATCTCAGTTTCCCAAGGATGTGACTGTCTCCAACTAATAACTTGTAACTCTGTTCTTCTGGTTTTCCCTATGCTTTAGGGCTTATCTCAAGTCTCATTTATCACGAAGTCCTCTTCCACCTATTTTAGCTAATTCTGGGATGTTCCATTAAAGCCTTTCCTGTACCTACAACATAACTGCTAAAAGAATGCATTCTATTGGTGGGCAGGATATAAATATTGGTTTCATGATTTACTATGTTAACAGGTAAGTTACACACAAGTCTCTAAACTTCAGCTTCCATTATCTACAAACTACAATTTACAGGGTTGCTGTGAGGATTAAAAGATGTGAATCCTAGTACTCCAATGGCTAAGACAGGGGGATGGTGAATTTGAGGCCAGCCTGGGCTATCACAGAAAGCCCCTGTCTCAAAAATCAAGCAAGGAAGGAATAAAACAATGTGTGGGTTTGGAACTGTGAGGCTTTCTAGAATTTTTAAAGGAGCAGAACTAGATTTTTTTCCATCAATGCTCTGGTTTTTGTTGTTTTGCTTCTTGTTTTTTTTTGAGATGGGGGTCACCCTGTACCTCCAACTGGCCTGGAACTCACTATGTAGACCAGGCCAGCTTCGATATTACAGATCCACCTGCCTCTGTGTCTTGAGCACCGGGCCACCACCCCAGGCTTTTTTTTTTTTTTTTTTAAATATTTTATTTATTATTTATTATTTAATTTTATGTGTATGGGTGTATTGCCTGCATGTAGGTAAGTGCACCAGTGTCATGCAATGCCTGAGGACAGAAGTGGCTATCAGATCCCCTGGAACTGGAGTTACAGAGAGTTGTCAGCTGCCATGTAGGTGCTAGGATTCGAACCCAGGTACTCTGCAAGAACAGCCAGTGTTCTTAACCGCTGAGCCATCTCTCTAGCCCCGTTTTGTTTTTTAGACACAGGGTTACATGTAGCCAAGACTAGTCTTGAACTCCTAATCCTGCTTCAGCATCTAAAAGGAATTTTTGAAAATGAAAAAATATGGGTTAGGAATATAACTCAGTTAGTAGAAGGCTTGCCTAGCAGGCATAACTTAAAACCCAGCATGGTGACTATGACTATACATAATCCCAGTACTCAGGAGGTAGAGGCAGGAAGACCAGAAGAGCCTCAAGGTTATCATCTGCTACAGAGTGAATTCAACTGAGGCCAGCCTAGGCTATATGCATAATACTAAATGCAAGGCACAGAGGAATACCCCTGACCCTGAGGAGAAGCAGAGCAGATTTTTTTTTTTTTAATCTTTCGATATAGGTTTCCTTGTAGCCCTAGCTACAAGTAGACCAGGCTGGCCTTGAGCTCACAGAGATCCACCTGCCTCTTCCTTCTGAGTGCTGGGACTAAAGGCATTGCAATACCACACCTGGCCCAGAGCAGCATTTATAAGGCTTAAAACCACAATGACATCATGCCAGGGGCAAAGCCAGTAACCACAGTTACATCATACCAGGGGGCAGGTTCAGCTAACAAAAATTTCCCAGGTTTCAGTTAAGAAAAACAAGTTTCTAAGAATTGCAGAAACAATGGACTACATAGTGTAACTGGAAGAGGAGTTCTGTCTGGTAGCTCTAAGTTTCCCAGTATTGTAGAAACAACATACCCTGAAACTGCATGTACAGTCTTCATGGGACTGGTTGTGCCTGGCTGCAGTTAGTCAGAGCATGGGGAGTGGTTGGGCAGAAACACCGTGAGGCAAAAGTCAGCTAGAATAAAATGGAGTCAGTTTTGCCATTTTACATGAGACTGTCTCAAAAAAGACCAGAATGTATTTCTAGAAAGTAAAAACAAATAAATAGCAATAAATTCAATAAAAACAGGCAACTAATCTGACTACTAAATTTATGAAGAAATGCTCAAATTCTACTAGTCAGAGAAATATAAGCCAAAGTCAAGACATAAATAACAAAAAACCCCTTATAGATATCACTCTATAGCCACTACATGGGGATTATCTCTATATCTAATCTCTATCTATCTATCTATCTATCTATCTATCTATCTATCCATCCGTTTTTGTTTTTTGAGACAAGGGCTTGATCTATAGGTGAACTACCTCGGAAATGTTATTCCTGCCTCCACCTCCTATGTGGCTAGGATTATAGGCACACTACCATGTCCTGCTAGCATGTTTCTACTCGACAGGTGCTTTAGCCAATTAAAAAGAGCTAGGCCTCCCACTAGCAAATTTTTTTTTGGGGGGGGGGTTGAGACAGGATCTCCCTGCAGCCCCAGCTGTCCTGAAACTTACTATGTAGACCAGGCTGGCCTTGAACTCACAGAGATCCGCCTGCCTCTTGCCTCCCAAGTGCTGGGATTAAAGGCGTGTGCCACCACGCCCAGCCCATACAGCAAATATTTTTAAACACTAAATGACATCAATTGTTGGTGAGACTATGGGGAAAACAAGAACTCTAGTGAGAACAAGAACTCTTGTGAACTACCAGAATTAGTGTAAACTGTAACAGTGATTCTGAGCAGCAATATGTATACATATGTTCTTTATGATCTAACAGCCTACCACTAAAAACATTTCCCAAAGAAACCTTTGCATAGGCTCCAAAGAGGATGAAGACATTCATGATACAAATAGTAGGGTATCAGAAGCAACCAATGGATTCATCACTAGAGAATGGTCTATAAACATGATAGAGCAATGTCATGGATTATGATGTAAGTAAAAGCCATCATTTATGAATACATCCACATAGATAGACCTTTCAAAGTATCAGTGAAAGAAAAAGTGAGATCTACAATAGCATATCATCTTGTATTTAAATGGCACCTATTAGTCTGGGGATATAACTTCATAGTAGAATGTTTGCCTACCATGTGCAAGGCCCTGGGTTCAATCTCCAACATACTTAAACACGCATACACACACAATACTATATAACTCATAAAATAGATGCACACCCGAATATCAAATACATTGGTGGATGTCAGAAAATAAGCAGGGTTGGGGGAGAAACATTAGAAGTAAAATGAGGAAGTTTATACAACTCACTGATGACAATGTGCTAGAAACTGATTAGAAATTTTGGATTAGGGGCTGGAGAGATGGCTAAGCAGTTAAAGCACCTGAGTTTGATTCCCAGCACCTGGCTAACAATTGTTCATATTCCAGCTCCTGGGGATCTGATGCCGTCTTCTGGCCTCCAGCAGCACTGCATGGCATGGATACATACATACATACATGCAAAACACTCATACACACAATTTTTAAAAAGAAAATTTGAATTAGTCAACTCCCTATATCTAATGTCTCCATTAACAGGGTTTCATCTGCTTACTGAAGAGATCAAGAAACTAAGTGACAATAATACAAATTAACCTATAGATGAAGTACTCAGCCTTCCACTTTCCATTGATAACAATTAACTACTCTAATTATATCTAAATGGTATCTAAAGATGTGAGTCCTTATGATATACTCAGATGATAATTTAAGTTTCCTTTCAGTCATTCTAAAAAGAATCAGCATGACCAAGCAAAGCAGGTTCCATAAACAGGAAGCAGAAGCAATATGGTGCTAGGCAAGTACCTTTCTGAATAGCCTCTTCTGTTGTAGGGCCTTGAGGCAACCCTTCAATGTAAGTGGTTGGCAACAAGTCTGCTGAGATAGGCTGACCTTGTAACTTTTGAAGTCTTTCTTGTACAGCACTGGTCAGATCTATATAAGCCTCATCGATGCTGGCACGTTCAATCACAGCAAAATGAGACATTATCTCCATCACTTCAACACTGGCTTCCCGATACCTAAGAAGTATAATGATCATGCGTGCAAGCAATATATGGAGGCAACCTCAAGACTGTCAGTTCCATCTCCTCCGTTCCTCCTCCTCCTCTTCTTCTCATAATGAACAATAATATCCATAATCAAGTGGCAAGTGGCTTAACAGGGATTTAATAAATATCCAACTGAAGGGACCAATGGGCAGGTAGATGATCAATAGAAGTAAGGAAAAGAAGACCCACTGGGAAAGTCTTTTTGTACAATGCTAGCACTATACCAAGCTAAAAAGCATCCAGACCCTAAACACATCTACATGACACGGATCTTTCTAAAAAGCAATGCCTAACACTATAAAACATATTATGCCCACTTATTCCTTCTGTTTTCATAGAACCATACAATTTTTTGCTTCAAAGTCTATCTTCAAATAAGATGTAACTTATGGAGGCTACTACACTCATCAGTGAACCAGAGTATCTGATCTTTCTTAAAATAGCAATTCCCACTATAAAGTAACAAACTATTGACTTCACATTTCAGTCAATGGCATTTGGTTAGCATGTGAAATGGCAATCACTGTAATACCCCAATCAATCACTTCTGGATATACCATCATTCAAATTATGAAGACAGGTGCCTAGAATTTGGTGATTCACTTAAGCAGGTGGCCACCTTCTTCAGGGAACTACCATCTCATCACAGACCTGTTTAAATCATCAACTGCTCTTCTGGTCATACAGCTAGTTTTCTACAACAATATATGGATATTATCTTTACTTAGGTTTGGATTTGCTATATAATTTCAAGTTCTTTGATCTTGATATTTACATGGTTTCACTAAGATGCCTATAAAAACTAGTATGATATTGTTTCAAAACACTGCCTATAAGAATTATAAAATATTTGCCTTTTCAATCTTTATTTGTGATAGGAAGAAGCATCAAAGGATTAAAAAAGAGAGTAATATACTCATATATAAAGCCCGAAAAAGATATTCTATAAGCAATTGGTATATGTTTATATCTATATAATTTTCAAGCAAATTATTCTGTTTTGAAGGATACTTGAAAACTACACAAAGTACTTAGTTCTTATGTCTTCGCAAATAGCTTACTTATTTATTGGTCTTTTGGGGGGGTAGGGTCTCCCTGTAGCCCCAGCTGGCTTGGAACTTGCTATGTAGACCAGGCTGGCCTTGAATTCACAGAGATCTGCCTGCCTCTGCCTCCCAAGTGCTGGGATTAAAGGCATGGGCCACCACACCTGACAAGCATGTTTATTTTTATAACTTGGTATCTCAAGTTAGTTATTAAAATAATTTAGGGCTGGAAAGATAGCTCAGAGGTTAAGAGCACTAGCTGCTCTTGTAGAGGACCCAGGTTTGATTCCTAGTACCCACACGGCGGTTAACAACTGCTTGTACCTCCAGTTCCAGTGGAATCTAATGCTCTCTTCTGACCTCTGCCAGCATTACAGAACACAGGTACACTTACAAGCAGGCAATATACTCATACACATAATATTAAAAAATAACAGCTAATTTTAAATTAAGCCAGGCGTGGTAGAGCATGCCTTTAATTCTGACACTTGGGAGGCAGAGGCAAGTGGATCTCTGTGAGAGCAAGGCTGGCCTGGTCTACATATCGAGTTCCAGGCCAGCTGGGGCTACAGGTGGACCATATCTCAACCCCCCAAAATAAATAAATATTAAAAAAAAAAGTAATAATCTTAAATTGTCAGGCCTTTCTAATTCTCCATCTCCTAAGTGCTGGGATTACAGGCTTATGCCAGACACTCAGGTAATGTAGTTTAAAAGTAAATGGTCCAGTTTAAAGTCAGTAGAGTGTGCCTTTTCCAAATCAAACTTTGAAGTCAACAACATATATTTCACGAAGTTGTACTGCCTATACAGCATGCAATATACCCTATGTCCATTAAATGAATTAATTCTGCTTTAGGGTTAATCAGCCAATTACATCTTTAGACTTGCAGTACACAGGTGAATTTGGAAATATCTCAAGTCCCACATCAAAGCCCGATGCCTACACATACCATACAACATAATGTACTATGAGAATACAGATACTGGAATCTGAAAATGATAGATAGGACTCTTCAGTCTTCTGCTTCATTGTGTGAACTTAAACTATTTAACCTATTTTGGGCTGGGGATTTATCTTAGTCAGTAGACTGTTTACCCAGCATGCATGAAGCCATGGGTTCTAATTGCAGCACTGCATAAAGCAAATGTGGTGGAGCATACCTGTAATCCCAGCATTTAAGAGGTAGAAGAAGGATCAGGAACTGAATATCATTGTCAGTTACATAGTGAGTTCAAGGCCTGCCTGGGATATATGAGATTCTGTCTCTCAAAAACAAAGAAGAAAAACTACATGCCCAAACTTGATTCATCTGTAAAGTCAAGACTACCTACTTCACTAGTCCTACCTTGAAATAACATGAGAATTAAAAGAGCTATTGCCTATAAATAACCATGCCCGGAATACAAACTCAATATATATTTGCTAGGCCAGAAGTCTACCAATGAACCACACTCCCATGCACACAAAACAAACTTGAAATATCAGTTTCAGCCTTTATGGACTATTATCTCTAAGTTCTCTATATTCCTTTACAATATTTTTTTCTTACTTGGTGAGGTTAGCTTTCCCACGGGACTCACGAACTTGTGCCAGTAGAAGATCTGGACATAATTTCTTAGCATCATCTGCCCACATGTTTCTAGTGACCCCAAATGCACGAGCTTCGTAACTCACTGCAATAATTCTAAAATTAGGAAGGAAAAAAAAGGAAAAAGAAAAAATAGTACATGATCACAAGCAACAATAAAATTTAACAGGAGTAGGTTAAACACATAAAATCAGAAACTTTAAAAAAATGTATTTATGCCAGGCATGGTGGTACACACCTTTAATCCCAGCACTCGGGAGGCAGAGGCAGGTGGATCTCTGTGAGTTCCAAGCCAGCCTGGTCTACAAAGCAAGTTCTAGGCCAGTGGGGGCTATAGGGAGACCCTGTCTCAAAAAAACCCAACAAAAAAGTGTTTATTTGATATGTATGAATATTCTGCCTACAAGTATACCTGTAGTGTGCAATGGAAACAGAAAGAGGGCACTGTATACCCTAGAACTGGAATTATGGATGGTTTTCAGTCACCATGTGGGTGCTGGGAACTGAAACTGGGTCCTCTGCAAGAGCAGCCAGTGCTCTTAACTGCTGAGCCATCTTTCCAGTCCCCAAATTAGAAACTTTTTTTAACCACAGATGTTACCAATCAATCCTAAACACAGCAGTTGAGAAATCTCAAAGGCAAGACCAGCATAGACCACTAAGTTTCCATTGATTAAAATACTAGGAGGTGGGGCTGGAGAGATGGCTCAGCGGTTAAGAACACAGGTTATTCTTGCAGAAGAACAGGGTTCGAATCCCAGCACCCACATGGCAGCTAACAACTGTCTATAACTCCAGTTCCAGGGGACCCGACAGCCTCTTCTGTCCTCCAGAGGCATTGCATGACATGGGTGCACTTACCTACAAGCAGGCAATACATGCATACACATAAAATTAAAAAAAAGAAGGAGGTGGGAAGATGACTGTTTGTTAGTCAAGTGCTTGCCAGGGAAGCATGTAGATCAGAGTCTGGATCCCCAGAACGTTAAAAAAGCTGGGCACAGCAGTACATGCCTATAGTCCCAGCACTGGGGAGGCAAAGACAGGCAGATTTCTGGAGCTTGCTGGTTTCTTAAGAGTCAGTCCAGCTAAATCCAGTGAGCTCAGGTTCTTTGACAAAGTCTCAAAAAATAAACTGGAAAGCAACTGAAGAACACTCTCAACATTGACCTCTGACCTACACACCTACACACACACACACACACACACCTTCTAGTAGCCATTTATGATAATAACAATGATACATACCCACCACCTTTCCATGATTTGTACTGTACTACTGCACATGGTTTATTCCTCAAATGAGGATTTTCCCGTTGTTCCACTTGAACAAAAAAACAATCCATGTCGACTAGAGCAACCACTCGATCCTGTCCAGTAGCCATTTCTTTCTGGAAGACATTTTATTGACAGTTAGAAAGACACCTAATCTAAAATACCAGAAAATTTGACAAGTGACCACAGAATGGAAACTGAAAGGTGAATGAAAGGCAACTCTCCTGTGCTGCTGACGTGAGAACAAATTGGTACGATCTGAAGAAGGCCCTATGGTCTCAGGTAGCCCAGACTCATTTTGAACTCCAGATTCCACCTCCTGGTACTGGGATTATAAACTTGAATCACTGCCTCTAGCCACTCACTCTCAAAAGAACTAAACGTTTCACAAAAGATAAATGAATAACCAGAAGTGCATAACAACAGGCTCAGCAGCATTAGTCAGGAGGAAATGCAAATTAACCCCCCCACACACACACACAAAACCGCCCCACAATGTATATCACTACAGAGAGAGGGCCAAGAGCAATCTATTTGAGAGATCTCAAGCATAAGTTTAGGGAAAGAGAAATGGAAAATTATAGCCCTCTCTTACATAAGAGTTCCACATCACCCAACCTCAGATTGGAAAATATTCAGAAAAAAAGCATATGCATTGAATTTGTACAAACATTTCTCATTAGTCTCTAAACAATACAGTGTAACTATTTACAGAGTACTTACATTGTATTAGGTATTATGATTTAAAATACTTGGGAGAGGTTGGGGGTATTGCTCAATGTTAATGCTCTTTTCTGGCATTCTCAAGGCCCCACTTTTGAACCTTAGTACATATATGTACATATATTTATATATGTATATGGTATAGGTTATATGCAAATACTACGTACATTTTATACAAATGAGATCCCAGAACCTGCAGATTTGGGTTTCTTGGGGGCAGCAAGACTGTCCTACAACCACCCTTCCTATTGATAGGAGGGACAAACTACATGACAACATTTGTGCAATTTTTAAATTTTGAATTACTTTTTAAAAACATGCAGACAAACCAGGCATGGCAGCACACGCCTTTAATCCCAGCACTTGGGAGGCAGAGGCAAGCGGATCGTTGTGAATTCAAGGCCAGCCTGGTCTATACTGCGGAGTTCCAGGCCAGCTGGGGCTACAGGGAAACTCTGTCTCAAAAAAGACCCCCCCCAAAAATGAACACTGATGAAGCACTGACTCAACTGTATACTTAAATCTGAACTTCGCTGGGTTTCCTGTAGTACCTTTTTTATCTTTCCAGGATCCAATATAGATCCTGCAGGTTTGTCATGTCTCTTTAGTCTCCTCCCTAATTCACTTTTGATGAGTGCTCAGTTATTATGAAAATGCCTATTAATTTGTGTTTGACATTTTCTCAGGATTAGATTGGGAGTATACATCTTTGGCAAGAATATCCTGGAGCTGAGTGAGGTGGCACACACCTTTAATCACAACACTCGGGGATGGAGGCAGACAGAGCTCTACAAGTTCAAGACTAGCAGGGCTACAGAGACTGTGCCTCAAAAAAAGAAAATGCTGGGCATGGTGATGCAGGATGCAGGCCCTTAATCCCAGCACTCTGGAAGTAGAGGCAGGTGGATCTCTGTGAGATCAAAACCTGCCTGGTCTACAAAGAAACTTTCATGCTATCTGGGGCTATAGGAAGATCCTGTCTCAAAACAACAAAAACCAAAAATCATATAAGTAATGATTTATTGTTAGTATATCCTGTCGGGAAAGATTGTGACATCAGTATGTCTTACTATTAATGTCAACCATAATCAGTAAGTTAAGATTCTGAGTTCAAGGATAGCCTGAGGTACTCAGTTAAGACCTTTGTTTCAAAAAGAAAACACACATCAAAAGAATAATTTAATACTATGCAAATATCCTGTTTCTCTGCAAACTTTCAATCACTAAGCAACTATCTATCCGTACATTTTACACACACCTCCCCCCCTCCAAAGCAAACGGTCATTTAGTCCAGATTGGTCTCAAATTTGCTATGTAGCCAAATATGACCTTGAATTTCTGATCCTCTTGCCAAATGCTGAGATTACAGGTATGTGCCAATGAGCCAGTCTGTAAGAGTGAGACCACGGAGGACAAGTCACAGCCTTTGAGTTGCAACAGCAAGAGGTTTATTCAAGACACAGGTACCTGTGGGCACAAAGTCTCCTCGGAGGACTAGCGCGCCCCAGGTTGAGTTCAGGGGGTTTTTATAAGGCAGAAGCAGGGTACAGAAGCAGAAACGCGGTTATTGGTTAATTTCAAACACACAGGTCCGGGGCTAAGGGGAAATAGGATTGCTAAATGGGAGGTGACCTCAGAAGCACAGACGTTTTCTAAAGATTTCCTGGTATCGGGCCCTCAGGGTGGTCAGGAGTTCTGACCGTAAAGCCAGTTTACAGCTTGATCTGTGAAGCTTGACCGGCGCCTACCTGCCTTGCAGCCTTTAGATAAGGCTGGTCCTGGTTTCTGTTAAGTTATAACAAGTGGGCTGTGGGCCCCTGAGTACTCATGGCATCTAGTTTCTCTTTATTTTTCATTCCCCTCTTTTTCTATGGGCATATGAGTGGAATCTTTCACTCATCATAACATGTCTGGATCTTCGGTCCTCAATGCCTGGTACTGGCTTGTGAGGACTAACGCCTGCACTACAGACAGCCGTTCCTTCACAAATTGGACCAGTCGATTAAGTATACAAGGTCCCAGGGTTAAAATAAGAAGGAGTAGGACTAAGGGTCCAGCTAGGGTGGATACCAATGTGGTGAACCAGGGTGATCTATTATAAAGGTTTTCAAACCATCCTTGTTGAGACTCAAGGTGTCGTTTCCTTTCTTCTAATCTATGTTTGAGCCTGTCTAGAGTCTCAGTGACTATCCCAGTCTGATCAGCATAGAAGCAACATTGTTCTTTTAAGGCAGCACACAAGCCTCCCTGTTTTAGGAATAACAAATCTAAACCCCGTCTATTTTGTAATACTACTTCGGATAGAGAGGTAAGGGAGTCCTTAAGAGCCCGGACGGATTTTTCCAAGGCGAGCAGATCTTGGTTCATCGCCTGGTGTAAAAGCATGTATTGGTCTGTACGGACAAGCGCGGTGGCCCCCGTACCTATTCCTGCAGTGATTCCTCCTACTCCTAGCAGAACGGCCAGGGTGAGGGAGATAGGCTCTCTCTTAAACCTGGTGGGGGAATTTTCATAAAAATTCAGTACATAGTCATCCTCATGCCAGTAAATTCGAGGCCACAGCTGAATAAGGACACAGAAATCTCGGGTAGAGTTTAGTACTGCTGCTGACACACATGGGGTGAGCCCCGTATTGCATGCCCAATAGGTACCATTAGGAGGTACCAGATAATAGCTACCAGGATAGATTGTTACAGTTTCATTACAGAGCTTGGAGGCATTAGGGGGGTTTCCAATACAGGTGCCACTTGAGGTCACCTGAGTCAGGGTTAACTGATGTTCCCCGGTTAGACATGCGGGGGGGGCTTCTGTGTGGTTAGAGTAATTTCCCTGAATGGCAATGCCCTCATAGTAGGGGGGTTGTGGATTAAGGCACAGCCAGCAGCTCTTAGTTTTTCCAGGATCAGATTGATTAAGTGCCTGGAATGCCCCCTTGATTAAATTCAGGAGCCTATCCCCGGTACCTGGCGGGGTTGGGGTAGGTTTTAGGGGTCCCTGGAGTGTGTTATTGGTTTGATTCAGATTACCCAGTGAGGGAACTTTAAGCACCGAGGCCGGACGTTGGTCTGGAAGGACAGGATTTGGGCCAACTGGCTGAGAGGATAGGCGGCTGTACTCCCTTTGAATCATGAATAAGGCAAAGGGGTCTTTGGCCGGTCTGTATAAGTATAGCCCCCATGTCTTGGTACCACTCCAATCAGCCTTTTTTCCTTGGTTTGTAAATCCTAACTGCTGTATATTACATCTTCCCCAGCTACCATCTCTGCATTTTCCTTCATCCTTTCCAGTTTCTCGGATTCCCCAATTGGGGGATTGTGTTACTGTAATTAAATCCCAGCTAGAAGAAGGTTTCCAATAGGTGCTACCCGAAGTCTCACACCCCCATTGGCTACAGAATCCTACCTCCGTTCCCCCACAACGGCGAATCAGGTCTGAGGTTCTCCCGTTTCCTGGGCAAACATAAACCCCCCCCCTTCCCATACAAGTATCTTCAGGGTTCATTAATTTGCACACATCGAATTCAATTGTTGGGAAACTGGTTGACAGGGGCCCCTGAAGAATGGTGCTATTTATGGTTTCCCCTGTAGTAAGGCTAAGAATCTTCCAGGTTATGTGGTACAGAGCATGGGGGTTAGAACATTGAATAGCAGGAATAAGCGAAAACAGAATTATGATCATCAAATTGTAGCGAGTCTTAGCTTTAAGGGGTTTTCTGTTCGGACTAGCCGCCATTTCCTTCCGTCAGGGGGCTGTTCTTGGTGTTCAGGGTTCGCTGCCTTGACGTGGGAGGCGTGGATCCAAGCCGCAATCCCGTCGACCTTAAGAGCTGTTGGTGTGGTGAGGAGGACGGTGTATGGTCCTTTCCAGCGTGGTTCTAGGCTCCGAGTCTGATGCCTCCGGACCCAGACAGCGTCCCCGGGCTGGAAGGGGTGGGGTGCAATAGGAGTGTCAATAGCATCCTGATAGGCTGCAGCTAGGGGCTTCCAGATCTCCTGGTGAGCCAGCTGGAGTGCCTTCAGGTGAGCAAAGAGGGAAGGTGAATCAACAAAGTTAGAGATATCCGGGTCTAAGAAGGAAACTGCAGGGGGAGGGGTCCCATACAGGATTTCAAACGGAGTTAACCCACTGGGCCCAGGAGTGTTCCTGGCCCGGTATAAAGCCAAGGGCAGTAGAGTCACCCAGTCTTTAGTGCCAGTTGCTAGCGAAAATTTAGTTAAAGCCTCTTTAATTGTCCTATTCATTCTTTCTACCTGGCCTGAACTCTGGGGTCTGTAAGCACAATGTAATTTCCAATCAATTCCCAACAACCTGGCCACTTTCTGACTTACCTGGGAGACGAAGGCCGGTCCATTATCTGACCCTATTACCTGAGGCATCCCGAATCGAATCGAGGAAAGATGTCTTCTAGTCAATGCTCCGGCTCCTCCAGTTTGGTGTGATAGTGGGTGGTCATCCAGTGCTCCCATTAACTCAGAGCAGGCAGGGCTGAGGCTGCTATCAGGCAGGGTAGGCACCAGCTCAGGCTCCAGGAAGTCGCTTAGTTGGCTGGCGTCATACCAATTGAGGGAGAGGCCACCTGGGCTGCTAGGCCCCTTGTCACTGCACGGGGCTTCTGACATCAGCTCTAGGGGCCCAGCTATCCCTTTGGGCCTCCGCAGCAGACCTCGGAGCTCCACCAGGCTGGGCAGGGTCAGCAGCTCCTGTGCAAAGTCCTTAGCAGCATCCAGAAAGCGGGCCAGGGGGTCCTGGGCTTGCCCCATTGCAGACACCAGGGAAGCCCTCTTCAGAAGCGTCTCTAGGATCTCTGTGGTCAGCATGGGCTCTTCATTTGGCTGGTCATTCCGTTGTAGCCAAGCTTCACTTTGGGCAGCTCTGAGCAATGGCAACAGTTTCCCGAGGGCAGCCAGTGTGTCTCGGGCACTGCGGCCTCCCAGCACTGAGCGGGCATCAACCAGGAGCCGGGAGACCAGGG